CTAATTAATGCCTTTTCAATTGACATAATTCAAGGATTTGATTGCCTATTCACATAGATGCTGTACAATCACTGGATGTCGGTGAGTTTATTTTTTCTGCGTTGTGCTACAAGCATGATCTCATTTAAACTAAGCACTGTATAAATTTTAACGATGAATTGTGGTTTATTCTTAAATTTAAGCTTGCCTTGCCCATTATTTAATTATCTAATATTGATTTTGGTTTGTACGATGAACAAAAGATTTGAAAGTCCCCCACCCTCCTTGCACCAAAAACGGAGAAAAAAACTAAAAAGTTTTGATTCTTGAAAATCTGCAAATCTGCTTCTAATGTTAAACAAAGTTTTCACTCTGACAGCTTTTTATCTTTCACGTATTTCTTATATTGAAATGATAACATTTAGAACTTTATCATGCAGCATTTTAAGTCCTTAAAAGTATTAACTTTGCAAAAGTAATGTTTATCAATGACATAGATATATGATTATATATCATAATTATATATCAGATGAACAGTGGACTGGCCCTTTAAACAAATATGGAAGAATTTTGGAATGAAATTTGAACCACCACACGACACCAGGGAGGATTTCGAGTGACGCGATATCTGAATGAAAGGAGTAAGTGTAAAATAGTCAGTGTCAGCCCAGAAGAATTTAACGCCGTAGAAAAACTTATAAAGTGCACATCTATTCCTAAAACTGTAGGTGTCGGTAAAGATATACACGCAACATACGGTATGAATCCTTCGTAGTAAGAAATGTTCAGAGAGTTGAAAATGTTGAACTTTGGTATAATTATGTACATGAACGAAGCAAAATCATTCGAAGTTTACTAAAACATGAAGCCTTTAACAAATTGGAGGAAGAAAGTGCTAAAGGTTCTGTTTAAACTATGCGATATAAAGACAATATCTTAGGGAGGGAATTGTATCAAGAATTAAATGAATGCTTTTTCTTCCATGGGACAAAACCTGAATTTGTTGATAACATTTCAACAAAGGGAATGGATCCTCGCCATGCTGGTGATAATGCAATGATGGGAAGAGGGAACTACTGTGCAGAGAGTTCAACTAAATCTGATCAATATGCAGGTTAGTTGGTAGAAGTATACACAAAGAAAAACATCAAAGTTGGGTAAATTCGATGTTAATCCAAAACAATAGAATTGATTTTTCGAAAAGCATACTGAAATACAAAACAAACATTTTAAAATAAAAATCATCAGAATCACTTGCAAAATCAACAGACGCCCTTAATTACAAACAAACGATTGCGTATTAATGCAAATCATTTTGCTAAAAAGAATTCAGATTGTACACACAGGTACTCTGAAGTTGATATGAAAAAGATGCTCGAGTTTCTGATTGACAATATCAATTGTTTTTCTGAGACCAGGTCTTCCGACAATCTATTGGAATTCCCGTGGGTAACTATACCATCCCCTTTTTAGCAGAATTTGTATTAATATGAAACAGAATTTGTCCAAAATATGTTACGCGAAAAGAAGAAAACAGTTGCTGTGTCCTTCAACTAAACATTTTGATATATCAACGACGCATTGTCAGTGGTCAATATCCCGGTGAGCTTGAGATAAAAGATACTACAGAATCCGACACATTTTTTATGTTTGCCTATATTACTTGAAAAACACGTTAATGGAAATCTAACACAAACTTTATTAAACTTTAAAATAAAGGTGATGACTTTAACTTTTCAATCGTTAACGTCCAATACTTATGCAGTACCTTCATCACAAGCAAGCAATCAAATAAACGTAAATTCTTTGTAAAAAGTAGAAGTAGCAAAATTTAATATTTTTGGTTAAATTGGTGAGTTCTACCTTTCCATCGTCAACGTCCTTACTTATGCAGCAATATACCTTCATCACCTGCATACAGCGTTTATATATCTCAGTTGATTCGATATGCAAGAGCATGCTCTACATATAAGCAATTTCTAAAACAAGAATTTCAACAGTCTCGTTTAAAGTCAACAACTCGTAAGTTCTATGGTCGATACAATGGCCTTGTCAGGAAATACAATTTATCATTGAGTCAAATGCTGACTGACCTTTTTCATATTTATTGTTAGTCCATTATTTGTAAACTGAATTGAGGACGGGTTTCACCATTATTTCCCGATCATGACAAAGAGCATACGGCGGTTATGACCGGTCAAAAGAGGATGCTCACTCCTCCGTGGCGCCCGATCCCAGCTCCGATGTTTTGGAGGTCCGTATTTGCTCTGCTCCAAATTTGTATTATTTTATGGACTTTTGATCTTGAAAACTGTTCTCCATAATTATGTTAGATGCATGTAATTAGTTAATTAAAACCGAAAAATTATTAATTTTGTAATTAGTCACTGTCTTCTAACTACAGATTTACCTTAAGTTTCATCTTTCTCTCTCTTTGTGTGAGAGGGTGAGGGCGTGTGTGAGAGGGTGTGTGAGGGTGCGAGTGTGTGTGTGAGAAAGAGAGGATGGGTTTGTGATGTTCCCCCTAAGCATGTGTAAGGAGGTTTGAATGTGTGTACATATATTTCAACGCAAGTTCACGGATGTTAAAAAAAATTCATGTGATTCTTCCGCTCTACATAAAAACAATGTCTAACACGAGGTAAATTATTGACAAACAAGTTGATGAAACAAGGATATCAGCAGTCCCGTTCAAAATCATCATTTTGTAAATAAGTTCTATGGTCGATACGGAGACATTATCAGCCAAAAACAATTTATCACTGAGTCAAATGCTGACCGATATTATTAATACTAATTGTTAGTCTATTTTTACACACTGAATTAATGATGGATTTTTCGGTTATTCCCCAGTCATGACAAGGAATACACGGTGGTAATCCCAGTCGACAGGGGATGCTCAGTCCTCCATGGCACCTGATCCCCGCTCTGCTGTTTTGGAGGTCCCTGTTTGCTATGCTCCTATTTTTTTCTTGTGTTATTCACTTTTAAGCTTGACTACTGTTCTTTATCTCCATATATTTCATACTCATTTCATGTTTATGTTCTGTTTAGTGAATCATAATTATTACATTAACATCTTTTTTTTACCCTTTCCTCTGCCCATTGAAACTTGGCGTTTGTACATAGTGTAATGTCAAAAACAACTAATAAAAGGAACTGCGTTCCATTTATTTTTTACTTTGAATATTCTTCAATTTTACACTGTTTGATAAATTCTTTATATTTTTTACGTAGATACCGAAAAAACCCGGCAAAATCGTGGCCTGAAGATGTTTTTGGTGCGCATGCTTCTCGGAAGAATGTATGTGGCCAGTGAAGCCTGCCAGTATAAACTTCCACCCTGTACTGTTTGTTGCACGGACGACTGTAGAGACAAAAGCCACGAACATTTTGATTCTGTTATAGCAGATATTCCTCGTATGATTTTCCGAGAATTCATTATATATGACCGTAACCAATGTTATCCGGAATACATCATCACATACGACAGAAAATAAATCTTGTAAATACTTACTATATCCTGCCTTTTGGTGTCAGGTTTATTACTGATTATATGCATGTACAATGATTGATATAATAAAGAATTTTGAATAAAAATATACACCTGATTTATCAATAAAGAAATGGTTAAATATATATCAAAGATAAATAAAGAATAATTTTTAGACAGGTAGTTGGTTTTGCTAGTTGGTTTATTTGTTTCATACCAATTGATAGGCCTTTATTTTTACACTGAATTTGACTATGGGATGTTCCAACTTACTGATCAATACAAGGGGCTCGCCGCGGGTGTGACTGGTCGACAGGGGATGTTTACTCCTAATGGGCACCTGATCCTACCTCTGGAATTTCCATGGGTCCGTGTTTTATGCCCTCTACACAGATTTTATCGTGAAACGTAAGGAGACGACGAACAGTGTTCAATATCAAAAGTCCATTTAACAATATAAAAAAGGAGCAGAGCAAACACAGACCTCCGAAACATCAGAGGTGGGATCAGGTGCCATGGAGGAGTGAGCATCCTCCACTGACCGTTCACACCCGCCGTGTGCTCCTTGTCATGATCGGGAAATGACTGGAAAATCCGTCGTCAATTCAGTGTATAAATAATTGACTAACAATTAGTATGAAACACGTCAGTCAACATTTGACTCAATGATAAATTGTATCTATCGACAAGGTCATTGTTTAGAGAGAATTTTTGAGATCGATCACTGTTAGTTATCTTTACTCTTATTCTATCAAGTGTTCTGCAGATCAATGTTGATCACACTAGCCAAAGATCTTAATTATTCATAAATTATCATTTTCTTTAAATTATAGACGCCAAAACTTTTTGCACCTTGTAATGACAAATATTTTATATGACACGTATGTTGATTTTTTTTTAAAAATCGTTTCAAGTTATTGAAATTTTTGGAAAAGGGGAAAAAAGTTAATGAAAATGCATTTGGGCAAATTTACTCCGACCTTGGCTAGAGGAAAATATTCGGATGGAAGAGGAATAAAAACATGTTTCTGTGAGTAGAAAGGTGTTGTCCTGGAAATTCAAAGAAGTTCTCTGCATTCGTTGAAGACTGACAGTGCTTTATCTCTATATGAAAGTGTGTTTTGAGGTAGAAAACATGCTTTTGAATATCACATATTATTAACAAACAGTACTCATACAAATGTAATAGAAATTGCTCCATATTGACAACAGTTTAAATATCCAAATAAAATGATGTTATGATAGGACAACATAAATGTACTGTGGAATCTCTCTTTTTTTAAGTTTAGATCAAAGCACGAGTTACTTGCTCTAATTAATTAAAACCGAAGATTCATTAATTTTATAATCATTAACTGTCTCCTAACTACAGATTTACCTTTAGTGAATTAAGCTGTATTTCATGTTTCTCTCTGTGTATGAGAGAGAAACTGAATGTTAGAGAGAGAGAGAGAGAGAGAGAGAGTACGTGGGTATGAGGATGTATATATATATATATGTGTGTGAGGGTGTTTGACTGTGAGTGTGTGTACATGCATTTCAACGCCAGTTCACGGATGTTAAAATATTCATGTGATTCTTCCTCATTGGAAATTAAGTTTCACATGTACAGTAATTCATCAGTATTTTTAGGATAACAATGGCATGGCAAAATATCTTCCTTTTTCTCCAAAGTTAGATATTTATGGATTCAATCGAAAAAATAAAAAAAATGTCACATCCGAGTAAAACGATTGAAGTAGAACTCTATTGGTCATCAACAACTGCTCTAGAATTTACAAGCAATTCGAGTTCATTTGATTTCCTGAATGAGTCGGCCTCGTCTTCGGAACATTGGATGAATATGACAGAAGGAAATGTCACGATAGATGTCTATAACACAACACTCAGACAAACAACCGCAGGTAAAACTTAGTTTTTATTTAATACAGGTAAAAAAACGGTAAAAAGAAGGAAAATCATTCTTAGTTCTGCAAAGCATGAAAATCCATTATAAATTTGATATACTACATCCCTCATCTCTTAATCATTGATTTTATTTTTATTTTAGGTGAAGAATTTAAGGTAGAAGAAATTTGGGGTAAGTATACTTATTACTAGTAAAAACATTCTTCTAAAGCTAAAACAAATTGCGATTACAAGTTTCTAAAATTGTATCTAGAATAAAAGTTCCTTATGTGAAATTAGCCTAATTTGGGTCACATTTTCAGTTCTTGAAATTATATTACACACCAATAAATTCTGAAAAGAACTGCTACAATACTGTTATATACACCCAAACATATAAAAAGAAGTCAAAAACATTTGAAAAAAATATAGCTTATACAAAGAAAAAAAATTAAGTTGGTCTGGGCCATTTTTGGTTTATATAGTGAGGCAATACAATTCAAAATACGTTTCATGTTTAAAAAAAATGAATATATGTACTACATTCTATTTTAAAAGCAGTCTACCCGCCGTGTGCTCCTTGTCATGATCGGGAAATAACGGGAAAATCTGTCGTGAATTCAATGTATAAATAAGTATGAAAAACGTGTCAGCATTTGACTCAATGATAAACTGTATTTGCTGACAAAGTCATTTTTATCCATTATAGAACTTACGAAATGATGACTTTTATTGAGACTGTTGATATTCTTCTTTCGTTTACTTGTTTGTCGATAATTTACTTCGTTTTAGAATTTGTTCATACGTAGAGCATGCTCTTGCTTATCAAATCAACTAAGAGATATAAACTTCATACACTGGTGATGAGGGTATATTGCTGCATAAGTAAAGGGAATTGACGATAGAAAAGTTAGTCATCACGTTTATCATACGTTTATCATAGAGCTTTGTTTCTTAGAGTACCATTTTTCAAGTAAAATATCCAAATATGAAACTAATGTGTTACACTCTGTTTTACACTCATTTTTCTTAAACTCACCGGGATATATTGTATAAACTTGGAACACTTTAGATTGTACATATCTGTCAAACACTTTGTATAAAAACGTCAGTCAGCATTGGAGTTAATGATAAAGTTGTATTTACTGAAAAAGTTAATTATCGACCATAAAAGATGCAAAATTATGACTTTCATCGTAAATGTTTATATGTTTGTTTATCAACATGTTTCTCAATGGTTTGTCTTATTTTAGAAATTGTTCATGCATAGATAATGATTTTTCATATCATTTGAACTTAAAGTAATTCATAGCGGTTATTATATATTTTCAATCCTTTCAGAATGGTTTGTGAATCTGACTACACCCACGCAGATAGTAGTAGGCACACTGCTGTGTCTTGTTTTGATTCTACTGATTGGTATAATATGCTGCTGCTGTTGCAAAAGGTAAACCAATGAAATCAATTTTTTTTTGCAAATGGTGTGTCACTGTAATGAAGCATCTTTTTGCAAAGAGTATGTCATTGAAATTAAACATAGGTCAAGGAATCAAACATCTTATCGAATATGTATGCCTCTAGAATCAAAATTATCTTATTGCAAAGGTATGCTACAAGAATCAAATTTATCTAATTGCAAACGACATGCTAGAGACACCTTAATAATCAGTTGGAACTATATTTAGTCCTCTAAGTACGTCTGCAATAGTGATAAAATTTACTCCTCTATTAAGGTTTGTCATTGAAATCAAACAAAAATTCCTATGTCTCAAAAGATATGCAAAATTTACTTTAAAGGGTATAATTATATAAAATCTGGCAGCTATTTGATTAAATCGTTTATATCTATGTTAGGGTATTTGCTTTGTGACTTTCTTAAATACCAAACTTTTTTTCATCCCTGCAACCTTGGTATACTAGATTAAAATACTAATATTTTGAATCTGCGAAAAGTTTTTTGGAGAACTTAAGTGCACTTCTAAAACATTACATGTTGCACCATTAAGAGCAGTTAATATTTTTGTAAGGTGCAAGGCTAGGGGCTTAGTAGAATCATAATTTCACCAACTGCAATGTATCTCTGTAAGGATTAAAAAATCAGGACGAAGAGTAGACATATTTTGATTCCTGAGATTAGGGAAGTGTGATATCAGATAGCATGGTGTGAATTGGTATTATTTAGGGATGGCAATCGAATACAGAATTGCTAATCGGTTATCCGCAAGACGTTCCGACCAATTAACCGGTTAACCGTATCAAAATACGCAATGTACATAACTCTTTTTCCCTAAGTAAATCTATTCGGCTGCATTTCATTTCCGGAATTTTTGGTAATTATCAACTTTTCATTTCCGACATTTTTTAGTTTTCATTTCCGACATTTTTTTGTTTTCATTTCCGACATTTTTCAAATACATAAATAGAACCTATAGTAACAAATTTGATAACTTTACTTGTGAAAAATTTAAAGAAATAAATCATAAATAAATCATTGAAATCCAATTTTGTAAATTTATCAATGGCTTGGACATAAGCATGGTGCTGTCATTGACATTCCATTTAGTGCATTTTAAATATGGTGAAAATTTTTTATGCTTATTAAACTCTTTTACCTATAGACTTACATGTATGCATATTTGTATAGATGTTTTTTTTATTAACAATTTGACATAAATACTTTTAAAATTCCATTTTCTTTTACTTAGAAAACATTGAATTGCCGCACAGGTAAATTCCGGAAATGAAAAAAATATTTTGTCGGAAATGAAAACAAAAAATGTCGGAAATGCTTTGCATATTTCCGGAAATGAAATGCAGCGATCTATTCATATATACAAGAAGACTGATAAAGTCTAGATGTTAAATCATTGTATTGGTCTTGATTCTTGTTTTTAAAAAAGGACAAGCTTATATATTTTTATTTTACTTTCAATATAAACTGTGGAAAATTAAAAAAAAACACGAATCATATCTGAGAAATCATTGATATTTTTCCAATGCAGATTTCACATACGTTCATTTAGGGTTGTCACTATAATGAAAACTAAGCCTGAAATAATCACTTAATTTAAATTTTTTTTTTTTTAGTAATTTATTCGATAGACAAAACAAAAAACAAAAAACATATAGAAAATATACAAAACATACAAAAAAATATAAAACAAAACATACTAATTCGCAGTTCTCAAAGGTGATTTAATTAATTTTATAGAAATACGGGACAGTCAGGGTAACGACATGATGTTTTAACAGTAATTAAGACTTCAAACACAAAATAACCAATTACTCTACAATCTCAATCCGGAGAAACATAATTACATCCAAGTCATTTTGGATATGTGAAAACGCTGAATTATCAACGTTTATGCAAATGTTTTTTTTTTTTTAAAATGAATTTCTAACAAAATTAGGTTCAAATTTATATAAATTTTATTTTTTCCGACTAACCGGTTCAAGATTTTCAAACCGATTGCCATCGTTTCGTCCGAGTAATTGGATAACCGGTTACAAATGCCATCCCTAGTATTATTGTTTGTGTGTTCTTTCAATCAATTGACCTGAGTTCAGTAGATAGGCAATTCATTTTTCAAATTCTACAAATGTAAGAAACTATTCTTAAGACCTTGTATTATGACACTGTTATAAGTTTATCAGAGCGAATTTTAAAAAAAAACAACAAAAAACTACTTTGAACAATGGCAACAATATATCCCATCTCTGTAAATTCAAAAATATTATTGTTAAAAATCTTGATACATAGGGAAATGTTTCAGTACTTCAGAATTAATTCGTTAAAGTGCATACACTTTACTGATCACTTCATAATTACACGCCTTCCATCAATATCTAAATTTTGCAAGTTGGGTGATGGTGTGAAAAGTTTAAAGAGCAATGCTTGTTATGATATGAAACATATGGAGATAACGAACAGCACTCAAGATCAAAAGTCCATAAAACAATAGAAAACAATAAAAATAAAAATATTCTTATTCCTGTTCAAATTATTGTAACGACATATTTGTATTTATAGTTTGTTACTATAATTTCTATAATAATAATTGATTATTGCTATACATGTATCTTATGAGACAAAACAACTCTGGATATATGTTAAGTTTAAAACATTGCTGTTACGTCATACATTTGTTCTTGCAGTCAAAAAAAACTATCTGTAGCAGTCCGATAATAATAATTAGCAGTCCGATAATATATTATCGGACGACTATGATAACAAAATCGGACGGTATTAAAAAAACACAAAAGAGTGTGAAAAAGATTGAATATGTCAAGAAACTTAAAAGAAATATTTCGAAAAAAGAAAAGAAAATTCAGGGAAAGCAAACGCAAGGAAAATAATTTGCTACAGAATAGCAATTCTATTACAAAAATTAAAAGCTCAGGATAAAAATCTGCATTTTTACTCTCCTTGGTGATGGTAAAAATCTTTCTACACCGGACCACTGCCCTGCTTAGCTGAACGACTAGCTACCACTGAATGAATGAAATGAAAAAAAAAGAGTTCACTCTCTGTTTTTACTGTCTCATTTCTTTTATCTACTTATCAGAGGGGTAGAAAACAATTGATGTTTTATTCAAATTTTAGATTTGTAGCTTTGATGTACTGTACAACTTGTCATATAAGGACACCACTTGGTCTAAAGAAATTGGTCAACGTTAGACAATATTTTGGATAATACAATATCTTATACAAATGAATTTACTGAAGAAGACATAAAGTGTACATCATTTTAGACAAGATTTTGGGTTATAAAACATCCGATGAGACAGGTTTAACTGTACATGTATTTGCTAATTTTTGTTTATTACAAGAAAACTACATGTACAGTTTGTTCTGTGGCTGGTACTACAAGACAAGGAACTTCTTCATTCTAGAATAGCAAAAGCAAATTGATCGATTTACATGGATTGTGTTTTGATTAATTTTGATTTCTCGGCGAAACCAGGAAACTGGTCTCTAATTGTATCTGTTTATGGACGGAAAATATGCCTCATTTGACTCTGAAAGATACATCAGCTGTTGTTATCATGTGACTTGAAATATTTGTCCAAAATTAGAATGTTTTAAAATGTTCCAATTTTTTCAAATATTTAATTTACCATAGCAATTAAAATCTCAAGCAAATTCCAAACAAAAATCAAACATCTCTCTCACATTTTAAGTGTCTTTGTGGGTGTTATGAGCACAATGTACAAAACTATCTCATTGAAACATAATCGTAGAATTTGCTCTTATAAATTTCCTGCTTATACACGGGTTTACAAGTCTGCTGATTGAACATCCTTTCTGGTAACACTTCCACCCCAATACCACCAGAATCAGAATCAGTTTATTCGCTCAAACCATACAGCATGGTACATGAGGAACATAAAGTATATACAATGTCTATAATGTCGTCAGAGGTACATTAGTATAAATATACACACATATAAATAATTAATATAAATATATATACGTAAATAAATGTTTTACAACTGCATATAGAGAGGATGTACATATAGTACATGTAATAATAAAGTATATGCAAAAAGAAAATACCAGGAGGACAGCTAAGAAGGACAGACAGTCTCAAATATTTTTGAAATAAATGTACATAGTTTTTGTAAAGATTGTATATTTGAATTGGCCATGAGTTCATAAAACTTGACAACATTTGGTCTGGTGCAGTAACTTTTGTGTAAAAATTTTTTTCTTATCTCTGAAAAAGCTGTACACTCTAAAATGTAGTGGTATTCATCGCCTATCTTTCCATTGTTACAAACTAAACATACTCTATCATTTAATGGGGTGCCACACCACCTCCCTGTTTCGACAGGTAGATGATGATTTGAGGTACGCATTTTCATCAATAGCTTTCTTTGTTTTGGGCGTAAATTTTTAATGTAGCTTTCAAATCCGAAATTGGTTTTAAAAATTCTGTAAATCTGGCCTTTGGAAGAACTATTTATGTCATTTGACCATTTTTGAATGAACTGGTCTTTTAAATTCTGATTTACAATAGCACTTAGCCATTTAGCATTGACAACACCTTGCTCATTCCATATAAATGAAAGTCCACAATTATTTAGAATTTTTTGAATACATTCAATCCATTGACATTTAATACCATCGTTACTTAATTGGTTATACATATACTTGTACACAATATTGACAATTTTATCTTCTGCACATGTAAACATCTTTGACCAGTAAGTAATCATTCTCGTAAAAACATTGATGTACAAAGGGAATCTTCCAGTTTCTCCGTAAATCATGTAATTTGGTGTAGAACTTTTCAAATTAAATATAGTTTTTAAGAATTTTAAATGAACACGTTCAATTATTTCCATATTTTCATAGCCCCATATCTCACATCCGTAGAGTAAGATGGGTGTGACTACTTTATCAAACAAGTCAAGCTGACATTCGATCGGTAAATTAAATTGTCT